GAATTGAAAAGAAAAAGAAAACAAAGCTAATCACTTATCACCATGTAATACGTTTGCTCATTTGCCGCCCAACTCCAAAAAAATACCCAAGCTGATTTCTCGCATGTCTCCTGGCCCCACACCCCGCTCCTTATTTGTCTACAAGCGATCGAGTACAGTTACCCGCAATATTATCTAGCCGCTCACAATAGGTTTAATCGTGCGATACAGTCGTGATGTACAGTCGGCGACAGAACCGTTCACAACTATTATTTTTCATCACCAATTCCGTGATCAGACAATCAATATTAAGATTTATTTTTAAAGGTTTGTAAAATTTCGTCTGTGATTATATTTATAGGTTTGGTTTTGTTGAAATAAATAAATCAAAGTCAATTTTTTTTTCAAGTATACCAGCAGTTGTAGCCAAATGCCATTTAGCGCTTGTCTACTTGTAGAATAGAAAACCAAATTATATGGAATTGACGTAAATTTTGGCACTTGTCAATGTCATCCCCATACATTTTGATTTCTACTCTCTCTGTAGAAAAGCGCTAAAGTCGCGTTTGGCTAAAGGCCCTGGTAAGCATTTTTGAACGTCAACAAAAAATTTAAAAGTGAAGCTATTTGCTAATTCCAAGGTGTAGATTCTTAATTAATATAATTAAGAATCGGGCAATTGGGCCTCCGGTAACCTCACTCACACGACGAAACACTGTCTTCTGTGAGGCTGTGGTATCACTCCAGTCGAGTCGGCCCATTCATGTCGAAGCATGGCTCTCCCACACTTAATGACAATAAAGGCCATAAAGTGACATTCAGTAAACAGTATTCGCGTTGTCACTGAAGATGAAGACGATCAAAGCCTCATCATTACCAAAAACCCAAATCCGTTTACTTACCGCTATGAACCAAAACAGAAACCGTTAAAACCTTCACCAAAAATACAGTAATAACCGAAACATAATTAAGACATAACACAGTCAAACAAACAAACAGATTCACCAAGTTTAAGGTCATTGTACACACGTGTACTTATCTAACTATACAAAACCAGTATAAACTGAACCGCGAATGTGGGAAAAGACCATAGAAAGCGAGACCACGATGTGTGGTCACGTGTGCACTGACTATAGCAACACGGCTTCACATCAATGTATGCAGAACCAGTATAAATTGGTCTTTGAATGTGCAGAAAGATCATACAAAGCCAGTCCATGATGTGTAGCCGTTACTGACTAGTTACGCATGCGTCACGCTGTGTGCGCAAGGGCGAGTGGTATAATGTGTTAGGTAATTTTTATTTGTGTATTGTTTCGTTTGGATCTTAATTCAAGTCTTTGTAATGCAGTTGGAATGTGTATGTGACTTTTTTGTGAAATTACTTATTTTTTACCGACTTCAAAAAAAGGAGGAGGTACTTTTTTATTTTTTTTAAGGGGGGAAAATCATCGAATGACAGCTCCCGCCTGGGTGAGGCGGGAGGGAGTGTCAGACTCTTACTGACTAAAAACCACCCCGTTCCTTATCCTGCACGTCGAGCCGGAGATGTTTGTTCTGCCGATTGTTTTGGGTTTTTTTTTTGTTTGTTCGCGCAGTACTCCGCCATTTGTGAACCGATTTCCAAAATTCTTGTTTTGTTTGAAAGGGTATACTCCCGAGATGGTCCCATTTCCATGAGGTCAGGATCTGATAATGGGATCCTAGGGAAATCGAGGAGAACTTTCGAAAATTGTAGGGGCGAGTAATGCGTCTATTATGTTTTTAATTAAGATTTTTTAACACTACAATTCGATAAGGGTCTGGAGTCGACCTGATGTTGGAACCGACAGACAGTCGAGAGACAGTAATTTTGTATAGAACTTATGGCGCTGACTTCTAACCTATCAGTGGGTGGGTATGGGTAACCTATCAGTACTAATGATAGTTATTTTTTCTTTTTAGTTTTGACTTTTTGTTTGTTATAAATTTTATGATAATGTGGTGACAGCCACTTGGCTGTACTTAATAGAAATATTTTGTTTATCAATCGAACTCTTATAAGTCGACACATTAATATCACATCTAATTTGACTATGACTTAGTCATGTTAAATGACTGTGTCGGACTACACATTAGACAGAGACCGGGAAGTTGCGCTATCTGATACATTCTGAACCTTTTAAATTGCGGTCTCCTGCCCACCTGTCAAGCGTTAAGATTATTGCAACGTCCTCTGTTGAACCACTGATAATTATGCATAAGCAGTTAAACAAAGCTTTCCATTTCAGTCCTTTGAAGGCAACGTGAATCTGCATTCAGCTACATGTTGAAAACCAAAAGTCTTTAAAATATATTTGACTCGCTTGTCGAATAGGATTATGGTTGAATTTCATTATGAACTCTAGTTTCTATTCCATGTCATTAAGATTTGGTAAGGACCCTTTATCGGACACAACAAGTCCAAACCTAAGTAATACTTTGTTACGGTACCGAGCCTGCCCTCAATTCCGGCATGATGCGTCAACCAAATGGTTTCATTTCAATATTAAAGTATGCCAAATATTTATCCGATTACCTCATCGAAACGGTAACAACTAGGTCGATTTAATAATATTATTTTAACAACACACAATACACAAAAGAATTAGCAAAATCGCTTCAATTGTTCATTTGTGATGCGATGACAAAAGAAAGTTAAACATTTTTAAGTCATCCTATAAAAAAAACTAACAATAATTCTGACATTCAGTTAATATCATAATCATTCAATTATCGCCCTTAACTGGACATCATCACCACCACCACCAGTCTATAAGTGTTCGCTGCTGAGCACAGGTCTCTTCTCACACAGAGAAGGATTAATCACCGCCCTTGCTGAAGTTGCTGAAGCTGCCTTTGACAACCTGTTGGCTCGTCTTACCTGGACATAGGCCAATTGACCGTCTCCTGTGCTTGATCTTCAGCTCTTCCTATCCAACCACTGCTAGAAAAACAAATTAAAGTTTTCTATCAAAGAACGAAATGCTATTATAATAGTATCTAATACTCAATAAATTACCGCTAAATATTTGATCAAAGAGGTACCTTTATACAAATATGTAGTTAACAAAACAAATACTTCTTTACTTACCCTATCAATGTATACAACTGTAATATTCTATTGCATAATATCTAGTGATAACTTCTATTATAAACCTTGTCCGCCGAGAAATCTGTGAGTCATTGTAAGTTAAGTGTTTGTCAAAGAATCGGTGAACACAGGGACGTAGTTAGGGCTATGCAGGCCCCATCGTGGTCCCCTTTATACCAAAAGGGCATCATAAGAAAATTGTTCGACACACGACTAGAAAATATGACAATAAACTAGAATTATAAATGGTCCATACACCTTAACAATTATTTTTACCTTAATGTTTTTACATAGAATATAAATACGTATGTATTTAAAAACATCACGCCTGTATCCCCGAAGGGTAGGCAGAGGTGCACATTATGCCACTGTACAATGTAACACCCACTTTTCACTATTTATGTTACGAGTCGGGTGGGTGAACCTATTGTCATATACCGGGCACCGTAACAGGCTTCGTGCTACTACTGAGATTTTTTTAATAACCCAGTAATACTTTGCCCGACCCGGGAATCGAAGCCTTCTCTCGGGTGTCCCATTGCCCGGCAATCGCACTTGCTACCGCTCGGCCAAGGAGGCAGTCATAGTCAAGTCAAATATAAATACAATGCATACATTTTTATACACACTTGAAAAAGTAAGTAAATAGAAATGATAAACATCATTTAAATTCATTTAAATAAACATCTGTGTTTGCTCAATTAAATCGTTGCTTGCTTCTTACCAATAACTTCTCTGCAACACCCAAAGGTCAGACTGGGAGAAAATGCCTGCGGCATTAAGTGCACCTTACGCACACTTTGTGCATGAAGCGTTAATAAATAAATAAATAGATCGCCTATGTATTAAAATGTCATTCATGTATTAATTTCGATAGTTAAGGGCCCAAAAAACATGCTGCAGAGCCCCAACGCCATCCCTGTACACACGCATAGCATAGCGGTGTTTTTATAACCGGCGTTATTGACCGCTCATTTCTTTGTTCCACTGTTAGCTAATCGAACGTTTAGAGGTTACAGCACACTAGGGATCCCTTGTATTTGATATTGGCTGGTAAATTCCACGATTTGATAGAGATAAAAGATCAATGACACGGCTTAAACGATTTGAATTGTAATTTTTAGTTTGGGTTGTTTGTTGACGATTTTTATTCTTTGATTTATTACTTTGATGATATATTTATTGGTTTTGTGGCGGTACGAAGTTCAAAGGCCAGGAATCCAAGCTTTTTATCCCAACTGAGTTCATGTCCCCAATATCCCGTAACCTGACATTCTTCTCACATTGCAAAGGAATGGCTATTATTCTGGTACTGCGAGCCCATCTTTTCAACTACTGCTATCCCAGCTAATCACTTACCATCAGGTGATTCATCTGCTCGTCTGTCTCTAACTCAAAAAATATCTCCGAGCAAGATCAATCCAGTTAAAATAAAACAGCCACGTCTTACAAATCCAATCTACACACACCCTTATCTCAATACATTATAAACAATTTATTGCTAACACTATAACACTGGTTTACACAATCTATATAGAACGTGATTCTCTAAATGTTTATTGTAAAACTAGGTTTTCCTGTCGGTTAACCAAAGTTTAGTTTAACGGTTTTGACCGCATACGGTAGCTCTGTGCTGTGGAATCCCAATCGTACCATTTGCAACTGGCACTGACTAATAATGTAATCGGATTGCTGTGTGTACTGTTATGATACCAATTTAAGCGAAATTCCATCTTAAAAACATACATAGGCTTTGTCCCCAAAGGTATTACCAGAGGTACACATTTAAAAAAGGCGTAATACATATAAGCCTTCCTAATAAGAATTATTAGGCCAATTAACCAAAGAGGTATTTATACAAATTCTAATTTTCGTTTTTTCTTTTTCAACAGATGTGACTAACCCCGACATGGCAGCCACCGACGGCCAAGTTGTGGCCGCAGCATCACGCTGGTGTGAGGAGGGAAGCTACCTGCGAGAGTTTGCAGTCAAAAACCGACTGCCAAGCGTCGCCAAGATCATCAAAGGACAGTATGGAGGCCTTGGTGTACCGACACTACCAAGTCCTGGACTTCAGAGCACTGCATTGCTCGTTTCAGCAGGAAAACGAAAGAAAATAATAGCACAAGCCATAAAACTCAAAGAAGGAAGGCGAATGGTCAGTGTTGGACCCCGAATAGCCATCCCCGAAACATATAAAGGCTATTTTGAATTACTAAGCGAAGAAGGTCGAGCTGTACGATGTATCGAATCAGTATCAGAACTAGCGAGGAGAAAACTAGACGATGGATGCCTTGTTAGAGAACCAGTTAGAGTAATTTGTGCTAAAACAGACTTAGATGGCAATGTGACAGCTGATGGAGCCAGAAATCTACCAGCTGGGGAGGTTATCATGCCTAGAGGAGAAACGTTCTTAGGTAAAAATAAGTATTTGAAATGTACAGACTCCAAAGGAGACATGGTGCTCTTAAGTCTGGATCAAAGAGGAAAATTTTCTGCAGTTGCTAAGGAAGAAAATATAAGCGGAGTGCACACAGCAAAAACTTTGTTGACTAAACGATTGCCGATCACTGTAAGACTAGTGCACGGAACTCCACCCAGGGGCCTGAAAAGCGCCAGTCATTTTGTCCCAGAATTAAGACTACTGTCCATGTTTGAAGAAGATCATGTTTTTGCTCTGCCCCTTCCCAAAGAAGGTAATGCGTTAGTAGCGCTACCATTAGCGGCGCCACTAAAAATGCAAAGATGCAAAAACGAGGATCAAATAAAGAACTTCATGGAATTTTCTAGACTAGTGGAAAAGTGTAATCGATTGTTAGTTGATGTCGTGGATCGAATACATGTGTTGGATGGAAAGTTAGGTGATCCTAAAAGGCTCCTGAACGGACCTCTTCACGCCCCACCTTTAGTCAAAACTGGTTACTTCCTTAGACGCAGTGCATCTTCAGACACGGCGAACCAACACAAGCACATGTCTCGCCACAACCACATCTACAGCAGTCATCGAGACGAAAACAGTATCCCAGACGAATATGACGAAATAGACCAAATTTACGACTACGTTAGAGGGTTTGCGCCTCTACCTAAGAATATAAAAGCTTCATATTCGAATGAACCATCTCCAAGGCACGAATCAGCTCCAGCATCACCCGCAGCAACTCCTATTCACATGCCTTTAATCACGGAAATTAAACCAGAACCACCGCCGATAGAGACGATACCAACAAAGAAGCCATTGAACATTCAAAAAGCGGAGAAGAGAACGAGGAAGGCTCCAACACCGATCAAAGAAACTCCAGTCACTGTTTATAAGGAAAAATGTTCCATAGCGCCTGCAGCAAATCTTCCAAAACTGTACATCAAAAATAGTGTGAACAACAGTAAGAATAGAATGGTTTTCCGTCAAAAGAGTACTTCGCCGACTAAAGAGGCACCTAGTCCAGTAGCTAGTCCGATACGACCGATCAAAGGTGACTCCCCAATCTTCAACATAAGGTATAAGAGTCTATCAAATATCCACCAGGCCATGGAATTGGATGGCACGTTAGATTCGAGCCATTCTGGAGGAAGAACGTCTGGGGATTCTGGTAATGGTCCGAAATTGCCTGAAAAACGGTCTAGGAAGTTAAGCAGGCCGAAGTCATTGACGAATCTGGTTTGGGAGCTAAAGGGATGCCCTGATCCGGAGAAACCTAAGTCTAGAGTAAAGAATGAAAGCTACAAGAAGATTGGTAACAAATTGTCCTTGGGAGCTCAGAAAAGGGTGCCGACGTTGTATCTTTAGATTTTGGTAAGTTCTATACTCCTTTTCTATTTTATTTACTGCCCTACGGATAGGTAAAGGTACCCAATAGAATGAGCCCATGGTCAAATTGGCCACTATCCCAGACTCCGTTCTGACGGCAGAAAACGAAAATCGCAAATAGGTAGGTACCTTTTACCTTGGTCTACCTATGCATCGAATGTACGATACCAAATTACACAGTCACATAACACGTGCAGTTATGCAATTTTAAAGTCAGTATTTAAACAAATACACAACCTCAATTCTATAGCAAGTCGGTTAATAACAACTTACATATTAGTTAGCAAATTGTAAGTGAAGTAATCTAAGTTTAGCTGGAAAATGCTATCTTGCAAGCATGCAAGTCAAGAGGTCGTGACCTCTCTGCATTCAATGTTGCATCCTCTTTGTTGGGTAAAGAGTATTATGAAGGAAATATAGTGGCATATTTAGCTTTAATGCCTCGTTTAATACGTAGTTGGTTTTAGTGAATGTCGTAAGAGATGTCTGAGTTAATGGCTTTGTCAAAAAGTTTAATAAATCAATCACTTTTAGTTAAACCTGGTACAACACTAGAATTATCGAATGCCTTAAGTAGGCTTACATTAATCAACTCTAAAGCGTACTTATACATCGTCCTTAAGAACAATATTATTGATCGCACGCAGATTTGGTTCCGTGAAGCAAACCAACCTTTAATGGTTTTTAAAAATTTTAGTCAAAATTCGACCGTCGACTATTATGTTTTGAGTTCGTTATTCAATCCCCATGTTTCAATAATTGCAACTATGAGGACCTGTTGAAGGCAGGTCGCTTTTAACCAGCCGATCTGTCGCGGAGAACCTAACGGGTAACCGGGGCTCCGGCTCGACGTGCAGGAGAAGGAACGGGGTGGTTTTTAGTCAGTAAGAGTCTGACACTCCCTTCCGCCTCACCCAGACGGGAGCAGTCATTCGATGATTTTCCCCCCTTTAAAAAAAAACCAGCCGATCTGGAAGCCATTGAGAGAAGTCTAGGTTAAACTGAGACGTTATGTGTGTCGGTTTCCATAAACTGAGTCCCGACAACTAATTCAAAGAATTTTCTTTTTTTTGAGAACCGAGTTTCTCAATCAATCTTTGTCTGACCTAAGACTGAGCCTACTCATCCAACGAGACCGCCTCTTTTTTTCCTCTTTTAGTCGATGTATTTATTAAACTTTGTTTTACCTTACCCTACAAGATAGTCAATTTGAAAATTATACTAAAACGTAACCAATACATGATTTACATCCCAAATAGCGATAGTTTAGCAATACTTCAAAGCTCGTCTTTACAAATGTCGTAGGAACATTAGTTCGTGATATGTCATGCCTTAGGTTTCCTATAAATTGTGAAAATGAATAAGCATTCATTATATTTCTTGTATTTTGTAATTATGTTTCTTTAGGCTCTTGTTAATAGGTTGTGTTTATTTGTAATTAGTGAAGGTGTGTTGAAATTGACCGTTTCTTTGGGTATGGAATAAGCTAATGGAATAAAGGTTTTCAATTCACGAAACTGTACAAGTGACAAATACTGCAAACAACCTGGAGTTGGTTCGAAGCAGAAGTAGAAATGGGGTAGTTTTTAGTCATTAAGAGCCTAACACTTTCTTTCGCCTCAGGCCTCGCCCAAGGTGGAAGCAGACCTTGGATGATTTTCCCCTCCCATAAAAGGTTCTTAAATACTTGATGTCTCAAGGTGGCGGTGGAATGTACCTGTAGCTAATATTTAATTGGTCAAAATACTTAAAAAAACATACTTGAGTTTCCAGAGTCATATTTTTCTTAAGGCGTAAGCCGGTAAACGAGCACACGGATCACCTGATGGTAAGCAATCGGCGTCGCCCATGCACACCTGGAACACCAGAGGCGTTACAAATGCGTTACCGACTTTTTTGGGGATTAGGAGTTTGAAGATCGATGGGGATTCAGGGATTGGGGAGATTAGGAAGGGGAGGGTAATTGGGCCTCCGGTAACCTTACTCACACGACGAAATACAATACAAGCGGTTTTCTGTGAGGCCGTGATATTACTCCGGTCGAGCCGGCCCATTCGTGCCGAAGCATGGCTCTCCCACACTTTTACACGTTTAGTCGTAAACTAAAATCACTATAATCAAATTCCTTTTTATATTTTATTCCCGGTCTTTTCTCAGCCATTTTGGGGTCAGCACTGCACTGCCTGAAGAAGAACCTCTCTGTAGTTCGAAACTAGTAAAGGTTTTCTCAGTACTTTCACGTCACCAACCCGCGATTTTTAATTAATATCAGCTGGACGTTAGTATTTCACATAGAGCGACGAACAATGTTTTTTCTAAGAAAAAAAACAAACACTATTCATAATACATACTTTTTTGTCAATGAATTGTTTAGTTATGTGAACTCTAGAAAACAATTGACGATAATGCATTATTAGGAATGTCAATTGTTTAAGTTTTTTAAGTATTTTGTATTCAGACATATCTTAGAGGTATTGTACCTAAACTTAAACGACTTGAATACAACAAAAAATAATGTTATGGAAGGGTTTTCAACTTTGTAAAATATATTTGTATCTGGCTACTTTTTAGCTACTTACTACTCAACTTATTACCTAACTAGCTACTTCCGCGCGGTTTTACTCGCTCTGCTCGGCGCCTATTATTCTTAGCGTGATATTTTATAGCCTATAGCCTTCCTCGATAAATGCACTATCCAACACAGAAAGATTTTTTCAAATCGGACCAGTAGTTTCGGAGATTAGCGCGTTCAAACAAAAAAACAAACTCTTCAGCTTTATAATATTAGTATAGATTCCGTCTTTAACTGAATATCTACTCCAACCTAAAAATCGACCCGACCGTACGGCGCGTCGCATTCCGTGCGCGCCTCAAAGAACCATCAGACCACCACAAATGGGGCCCAATAGGGCTGATGCCGATACGGATCCGTGGGACTCTAACTTGAAGTGCAGGAGTAGGAACAGGGTGGTTTTTAGTCAGTAAGAGTCTGACACTTCCTCTCGCCTCACCCGGACGAGACAAATCACTGGATGATTTCCCCCTCTCAAACAAAAAAACCCCGAAAATTGAAACCAAAATTCTGTTCTAAACTGCACTTGCAACTGTAAATTATACGGATTGACTGGTAGAGCGTCCATGTTAAAGATTCCTAATAACATTTAATAGATTAATGCCATAACTGTATGATGAAAACCTATTAGTTAGTATCTTGATTAAGTTTTTGTTAAGAAGTTATTGACCGGGCAACGCCGCAGGATATGCTAAGCTAATTCTGTGTCTAATGCAAATCATTGTGTTTCAATCTTTGATCGGCAACTTATGACATGTCGACCTCCTGAGGAATTTTAATTTGATTAGACAACTGTACCTTTATTTGCATTTTACGGTTAGGATACAAGTTACTGCACTGCAGTAAGTTGACTGCACGGTTGGTGCGGTGGCTGGGCAACCGGCTGCCGTGCAACGTGTCGCGGGTTCGATTCCCGCACGGAACAGCACTTTGTGTGATTCACAAATTGTTGTTTCGGGTCTGGGTGTCATTGTGTATGTGAACTTGTATGTTTGTAAACGCACCCACGACACAGGAGATAATCCTAGTGTGGGGCAACGTTTTTTTAAAAAAAAAAAAAAGATAATAGTTTCTTGAAGTTAACAGTGCAGTGTTCTTTTCATCTTCTATTATTTTCATTGCCCAATTATGCCCGATGTCTATTATTTAACATCCTGCTTACTAAATACGAGTGTATATATCCCTGCACTACGGTTTTGAGTCGTAGGTGCCCTTCGTGGATAAATACATACAAACAAATTTTAATTTCATGAAGAGCACCTGCCAAATGTATTGATAGGTGCCCTTCGTGGACTAGGGTAGGTGCTATTCGCACAGGTGCTCTAGATGGACTACCTCTAATGAACTGTCGATGGCAAAAGTCATTGAAGCCTACAACTACAACACCAGAGGCATCAGGTGCGTCGCCAACTATCTTGAAATCTTTCATTGGGAAATCATTTCCAATATATCCTCTAGCCCCTGAGAACAGATAAATTTTAAGTGTTGGAGAGCCATGTTTCGGCACAAATGAGCTGGCTCAACCGGAGTGATACCAAGGCTTCACAGAAAACTGTCGTAAAACAACACTTGCGTTGTGTTTCGTCCTGTGAGTAAGGTTACCGGAAGCCCACTTACTTCCCCCCCCCCATCTCTCCAATCCCTGAATCCTCAACAATCCTCAAATTCCTATTACCTAAAAGGCTGGTAACGCTCTTATAACGCCTAACGGTGACGCCCATTGGTCACCATCCGAGTGATCCGTCTTCTCGTTTATCAGCAAAAATACAACAATCTAAACAATACCCCACCCCGAAAATAACAAAATAATCACCACAACAAGAGGTCAAGGTCCCTTAATGTCGCTTCGCAAACTTTTACTGCTAATTTCCACCTAATAGGGCCGCTCCCGACCACCGCCCCGATTCTACACGAATACCACACCTTGATCATATTCCAACTATGTATTAATCTAATGGTATGATTATGTTCTGCACGACATTTTCAGCTCTATTTCAGTTACGCTAAAAGGTTATTTGTTAATTAAGTTGTTGGAACTTGGAAGTTAAAAGGGTGTTTCTATTTTGTATGATTTTCTGTGTCTCGTCTTTTTATGGGATATAAGTTGGTAAGCGAGCAGACGGATCACCTGATGGTAAGCAATCGGCGCCGTTTATTGACACCCGGAACACTAGTGTTATAAGTGTGTTGTCGGCCTTTTGGCAAGGAATTTGCAGACTATTGGGGTTTGCTGTATTTTAAGTTCTTATATGAACTAAAGATACGTTGAAAACTAAATATCTTAACACCTTTGTATATAGTGCTGTCAACGCTAACCTTTCGATGATTTACGAACCTCATATTATAACAAATACATTTATTTACTTAACCAAACACAACGTCCGAATTCATAACATGAAATCACTGC